ACACACACACTCACACACTCACTCACTCACTCACTCTCACACACACACACACACACACACACACAGAACTGATATGTGTGTTTGTATATCTTTTATGATATTAGGATTTGTTCTGGATCTGTTCTGGAGTGTTTAATATGTAGTATATGTGAGGGATGATCAATCATTCGGTCATTATCGTGAATTAAAGCCAATCAGAGTGAGCAGGATGTTGTTTATTTCAGATCACTCTCATCTGTCATTCCTGAACTCCTCATTCTGTTGTTCTGCCAGCATCCAGTGGCTGTTTTCGTGTCAGAATGAATCTGTGCTGTTCACCTGAGCATCATTCAGCTGTATGACAGGATGATTCATCTGCGCAGTCATATGAGCCGACTGCAGTTTCTTATGATCATTTTTTCATTTACATGTATGCATTTGGCAGATTCAAAGCAGTTTAAATTGCATTTAAGTTGCACATTTGATCAGTTCTTTCTTTCCCTGGGAATTGAACCCATGACCTTGGTGTTGCGAGCCCCATGATGTACAATTTTCCATCTTCTTATTTATTTATTTATTATGTCTCACGCAGACATGCAGTTTAAGAACTCGTTTTATCACTCTATAAATCAGAAAATACTGTCAGCAGACAGAAAACAAAGACATTTTCGCCATGTTTTGTTTTTAGGAATAAAATGTTATTTAAATCAGTGTGAATGATATATGAACAAACGCTTCAGTAAAAACCTTCAGAATATAGAGAGGAATAAAACTCTAAGTTTTGGTGTGTGTAAGTGTAGCTGAAGTGGAGAAACAAACTCTTAAAGATATATACTGTAATTGAAATCTACAGGCGCAAATGGATAAAGTGCAATAAAATTAACACTTAAAAGAGTTTTTTCATGTTACATGTGTTTTTATTTATTTTTTAACCTTTCCACCTTTTTCATCCTCTCTGCTCTCGGTTTAGGACTTCTGTATGTAAATGTGCTTTATGATTTATTGACCTGTTCAGAAGTGAAACGAGTTTGTTCCTGGTGTGTCGTCTGTAAAACTCTCAAATACTAGATCTAGTTCACTATGTTTGGTTTGGTTTGGCAGACTCTAATGGTTTATTTCCAGTGATCAGGAGTGTTTTTACAGTGAACACATGCAGTCAAATGAGTTCAGCGTCTGCTGAAGGTCACCGTTTCTCTTGTTTAACTCACATTAGCTAATGTTTCATGTCAACAAGCCATTTAAAGAGATGTGACGTCGGTCAGGGATTGACCCTTTGCTTTTGTATTCTTTTTTACTTGTACTATTTATGTATAATTCATTTTTATTTCAGTTTTACTTTTCATTTAATTCCAGTTAGTGATTTTAGTGCTTCAACTCAAGTTAATTAAGCAACTAACTTAAATTAGTTATATCACCATATCTTTGCTTTTGCTCTTTAACACTAGTGAGTTTTGGAGGATGAAGACTTTAGTGTGTCGTGTCTCTGCCTCCAGCTGTTGTTCGTTGGTTCTCTGGTTCTTGTCGTTGCTCTAGAAAACACAGGTGCTGTTGAGATGAGATCTACTTTAATGACCTGGTTTAATATTTCACAAATCACTTTAGATTCAGACTAACTGCAGCCTGATTTCACCTGATGTAGGTCATAAGTTACACACACACACTCACACACACACACACACACACACACACACACACACACGCACGCACACTCACGCACGCAAGCACGCACGCACACACTCACACACTCACTCACACACACACACACACACACACACGCACTCACTCACTCACTCACACACTCACACACTCAC